GCCGCATAGTGTATCTGCTGAGATAGAGCCTGATGACACCTCCCAGCGGGACTGCAGACCTCAAAGAACCAGGAGATTGCCAACTCATTTCACAGACTTTGTGACTTAGACAGACAGTGCCAAAAAAGGGGCAGAATAATCCCTGGCATATGTCTTAATAGCAAGGTAGTCTACCCCTCGCCATTCAGGTTGTTATGACATGGAAAAAAAATGAATGAAAATGTACTTTCTGAAGTTAAATGAGACTTATAAGCTAAAGATGAATGTTTCGATATATTCTGTTTAAAAAGAAGACATTTATGTTTTATAAACTGAAGATTTTCTGAGTATATTGGAGCCTGGATTATTAATGTTAAATAGAAGTAAGGAAACATTACACCTGTGTCATAAATCTGTGTGCAACAGAGATTAGTTTCTGCAAGAATCCAAAATCCAGTGGAAAAATCCCACTGGTTTTTTGTTGTAGGAACCAGGGCGATGCCAACTTCTGGGATGGCCTACAAGAATACATCATCCCTGCAGTGCTCTGTTGTCATTGCATTTTCTTTAAGAGCTGAAAACATGCACAATCATGGTATAATCCTTCAGCCCATGCCTGCGTATTGTATAGATGCTTCAGATCAGGGTATTAGCTTCTCTCTTTGCTGAATGCAAAGGTTAAATTAGATGAACAAAGCTTGTGATACTCTACCCATCCAGGTGATGATCGGCAGCCAGAGTGACAAGGACCATAATATATCTCCCTGTGGACTTCTAAGGTCAAAGCCACAGTCCTAGAGAATCCAGGTGTCCATTTTATGATTAGCTGCTAATGGCAGTAATGGTAACGAGCTCCTCATTATTACTTCATTTTCCCAGGTCAAAGCAAAAGTGAAAGTTAAGCAGAGGTCTGCTAAAAAAAGTTTTTTCATAATTAAAGCCAGTGGAGCACACCATACATGTCAAGGCACACACGTACAGATAATGAAGCTGGTTCCTATTCAGTACACCCTGATTAAAGGCATTGATTCACTGAGTGCTGGATACCAGTGAGTGCAGGTGTTGTGTGAAGATGTGGAATGTATGTAGTGGAATAGATGCCTTCCGTCCTAGTTCTTATCCAGTATTCTTTACTGCATTAGGTAAATAAGAGTGTGTGCTGCATTTAAATGAGTGAGGCGTAAATATCAAGCAACTCCCTAATCAGACCCACACGTTTAATATCAGCTGCTGTTTTTGTTATAGCTCTGATTGGTCCAAAGGAAGAAATGTCTTTCTTTGCATAAAACATATATGTTTTACGCTAAGCTCCTCTCCTGCTGCTATAGAGGATTGGGGTTGCAAGAGTCATGAGTCACTGAATGCTGTAAATTATGATTAATTCATTTATACAGTTGTTTGCAAATTTATTAGCATCTACAAAGTTCAGCTGATTCATGCTGCTGTACTTTCTTACCTGACCTGTATAAGATCACAGGAATGTGGTCTGTTCTATGGCTCTTACCACTCAATGTCTAATTATTGGTTGCTTTATATTTTTGTGATTTAGGAACTAAATCTTAAGTTTTGTTTCTTCTGCTTTGTGAAGTGAGTGCAATTCAAACAGACCAACACTGCCCATGACATCAGTGAAAAGGATTAACAGTAGAGGGTCGGATTAAAAACCTTGATGCATCCTGAAAACAATTGGAGATTATTTGAGCTTTTAATACATTTTTAGTTTAGTTCCAGTTTGTCTGGTTGAGTCATTTTTCCAACTTCCCCTTGTGGCATTCTATTGCCCCATTTGCACCAAGCAGTTCAGTTCAGGACAGTTCGTTACACATAAGAATGGTTATTTTTACCTTTCCATTGACAAAAGTTGTGGATGGTACCAATAGAACCACTCTATTGCATCCATCCATTTTTTCCGTTACCCAGAAACACTGCAGATCTGGCATTAAATGTACAGTTTATAGGCTACAGTGTCAGATAATACTTGCTGCAGCCTCCCAAGACCAATAAAAATATTTCTGTTGTTTCCTAACTGCTGGAAAAGTGAAGTGTGGTTAGCCCTGAACCCCCTGTAATGACCTTGCCTTCATTTAACAGTATTGTCTGCAGTTGGAACGCAAAACAGATCTTAGTGGGGGGGGGGTTAGGTATGGGTTTCTAGGGCACTATACCAAAAGTGTTTGGTGGAAACATGGCTTTTTTGGAAGGCCTCTCAAAAATGAAAGCAGCTCCAAAACAAGCATAAGGGTATCTGAGGTATCTGAGTTAGCCAAATCAAATTGGTGTCTTCCAAAGTTATGGTCTTTTTACGGTTTCCTTGCTGAGCCACAATAGAATACAGGGCAAGGTTTATCGTTAATGATTTTTTTTTTCACTTGCCTGATCAGCAAGTGGGTCAGAAATCTTGTGATGTCACGAGAGCCCAATGTTTTCTTTTCTTTAATTCCTTTTCACCACTTACCAGATCGGGCAAGTAAGTTGCTAGATTTACTAACCCAAAATGCCATTTTACTTTCCCTGGGCAAGCGGGCAATCCTTATTCTTGTGCCCTGCAGGCATATAGTCACATGTTGGTTTGTTACCAGAACAACTGTCCCCAATCTTTTTCAATGTAGTTACTCCATTATAGACAAGAGGAATGATTTAAATGACCCATAACTCTTTCAGCAAAACACAACACAAATCATGTGAATACTGTATTTATGAAGACGATGAAGAATACAATCATCAAGGCATTTTGCTTGGTTAATGTTGAGTCTGTAGGTGTGTAATGCATGGAGGTGTATTTACTCATCCCAACCTGTGCTTTTAAAGCGATAGGTTGCGGTAGAGGCTTAATCTGCTGCTGCACACATCAAAGATTACAGTGGGTGGCAAGGTGATCAAGTGGTTTAATGCAATGTCTGGATGGAGGAGTTTTGGGTCAACAAGCATCTGTCATGCTGAAGTATCCTTGAGCTTATTCTGTATCAGATTCAGGCATATAACTCTACCTAAACTTTACGGTTAAGCTGCCTAACTGAAAAAAAGTATCCAGTATGGATATTGGATTTCCCCTGGATATGACTGCAGTCCAGACAGGCCATGTGGAGCAGCATATTTTCCACTGTTTAACAGTGAATATATTGTTTCTTCTATCTTTCCTCCTCACTTTAACCACTCAGTTTCATAGAATTTGGAAGGACCATACACATTTAATTTAATTTAATTTCAGTCTGTTGTGGCGCATTCAACAGAAGCTCCAACATGCAGCACTTCAGAGTCAGGTGCAACCTTTCTTGATGTGGAAAGCTCCTAAATGTCTTGTTCTCTTATATTGTCCAGGCTGTGATTGTTTGTCTTCAGATTTTTTCACAATAGCCGTGCTTCCATCAACAGATACTGATGTGTATTTTTAGGTATCGCAATTTCGCAAAAATGTTTTTATGCTGGCTTGAGGTGGTTTGCCTTTTTATAAATGACTTAATGCACTTAATGAGAAATGGCAATCCTTTCTCCAAATAAGTTATAACATCACAAACATTTAACTCGCATGCCTGATGAGTTGTCCACGATCGCTGAACACAGATCTGATGGAACCTTCCTCACGTTAATACATGAAAGAGAAATGTAATATTATATAATATATTGTGATGGAAACACACAGTTTGGGTATTTTCCTGATCTTGAAAGTGCAAAGGTGGGAGGAGAGCCACAAACCGGTGGGAGGTTCATTCAGATGAAGCAGCTCAAAAAGAGTTGCTGCCAACCTTATGATTTTGTCAACAATCCCAGAGTACTTGAAGCAAATGTCCAGCAATAATGCAGTAAAGCCTAAAACAAAAATGTACTCTTGTAAATGTACTTAATTATGAATCCTTCAGTTCATTAAATCCCTGCAGCCGTCTGAGAGCAACGGGACACATATGTTGATCAATCTGGAGCCTCTGATTGGAAAACTGCCACATCATTATGCATGACTCTCCACTGTGTTTACTTTCATAAAATTTTGTGCAAATGACACCAGGCTGCAACAGGATAACCACACACACCTTTACACACACAGACTGGTCAGTTATTACTCAGTATTCTGCCTGTGTACACGAGAGACATGGGATTACCGGAGCTCATTAATCCTATGCATCACAGCTTGCTTACCAATTTTCAGCAGTTAATGATTATTCTCATAAATGATGGCGCAAATTCTGCTGCCATATTTTAAGATATGACGTAACCCTTGTGTAACAACTATTATGAAATAGAGTTATGACTGAAATAGTGTCAGATGGATTCCGCCATGTAAACTGCTTCACCAAACATTCATCTATCCATCATTATCTACACCCGCTTATCCTTTGAAGGGTCGCAGGGGGTTGGAGCCGATACCAGTTGATAATGTGCGAGAGTCGGGGTACACCCTGGACACAAAGAGACCACTTCACGCTCACATTCACATCTATGGCCAATTCAGAGTTGTGAATTAAAAGGCCCCAGCCAGCTAGTGTGTTAGTACCCAGAACCTTCTTGCTGTGAGGCAACAGTACTAACTATTGCACCACCATGACATTATGTAGATACCAAATAGAAATATTTATGCCATTTTTAGACAGTATGATTTAGAAGATGGAGAAGTTGATTCTTTATTTGTTGAGCTGTTGTTCTCATGCTTCGCTGTGATTGGCTCAGCTGTTTCAGAGCAATGAAGTCACTAATGTGACTGACTGAGAGTGTATTTGTTAATCACTATCTATATTAATCAGATTTATATAAGACTTACCTCTTTGCACTTGTTGTGCTTGCATCTTTAAAATAGGGCCCTTGATGTGGTTTGGCAATCAAGACCCAGATATCAGAGCACAACACAAACAAATTCCATTTAAAACTGCCTAAATTGTCTTTTTTGTCTGTCCTAGTAAAGTGATCACAGGATCCAGATCCAGATCAAACTAACCTCTGACCCTCCCTGTAATGGGGGAAAAGAAAAGGGCCTTGATCTGTGCTGATTAGCGAGTACAAATTTCTGTCTGTTTTCTCTCCTAGTGTTACGTCCTACCAGACCTTGCCCAGGAACATGCCCAGCCACCGCGCTCAGATTGTGCCCCGCTACCCAGAGGGCTACCGCACTCTGCCCCGCAACAGCATGATGAGGCCCGACAGCATCTGCAGTGTGGCGGGTTCTGTCTACGACCGAGCCCTCCGCCCCGCCTCCACCACCACCACCACCGTTACCACGGCGGAGAAGAGGAGGTCGATGAGGGACGACACCATGTGGCAGCTGTATGAGTGGCAGCAGAGGCAGGCCTTCTCCAGGCAAAGTCTGGCTCAGCCTACAGGTACAGATACCAGATATAATACTACTTCCTGTCCTATGGTAAGACCAATGACAGGGTAGTTTAGAGTTTTCAATTGCAATTTTGACAAACTAGCCTTTAGCTCAGAAAGCTACCCTTAGTTAAGTTATCCAATTAGTGCTAGTTATGTGGCCTTGTTATTCTGTTAGCTACAGTTTGAGGCTGGGTCACAGCGGTCTCTGGGCTCCCTGAACTGGCTTGGGCAGTAATGGATTACATATGATGGAGTTATGTAATCAGGATACCAAAAAAGGTAACTAATACATGACAGTTACAGAAAAGAGAAATGTAATCAGATTAGAGTTTTGCTGGATTATTAGTAGGATTACAATTTTAAAATACATTTTAAAATGAAGAACTATGTACTACCATGCACATGTGCACACATTACAACACTTAACGAGTCTCACAACACCACTCCGGTCTCAAGTGAAACCCTAGCTAATCTTACAGTCACCAGTGTATTATTATTGCCTGTAGTCCATTATTTTTAGTTTCTCCATTATTTTGTCTTCAATGCAGAAAAGTGGCTTACATGCTTCTGCCTGAATTTACTTCATTAAAATAAAGTATTTCTTTAAAAATAAGATGCTAATTTTTTTTTATTTTTTTGTTATCTCAGGACACTTTACAAACAGAGTGGGTCTAGACTTTACTATTTTCTTTTGTATGGTTGCATTGTTCTGTTCTGTCTTATTGACATTTCTTTTCTTTTGTCTTTATTTGCATATTTGGTGATCCAAGTAACAGAAAGTAATCAGGTTACATTACTTTAATATTGCGATACTTGGATGAGATTAATCACAAAAAATGTTAAACAGGTAATTAGTAACTGTATTGGATTATATTTTAGAAGTAACCCTTCCAACTCTGACCCTGAACACCCTAAAACACCTGAAAACATCTGGATACAGGGCTTAGCCCTGTAAAAAAGAATAGAAAACTGGCAGCCCAAAAAGCATTTCCCCCCTAGACCACCATTATAAAAGAGACTTCTGTGAAACAGTCAGCAGAACCTCTCTAACTGTAAACAAGGTCAATTATTGCTTTTTGTGTGTGAATTTTCAAACCATGAATGTTTCATTTTTATAACACATGCCCAAAGCAAACAAAAGCTATTTTTCTGTGTTGCATCATGTGCGAATAGGAAGAGAGAGAGACACACTAATATAACCTGTTCACATCACAGTGTTAGTTTAAGGTAAACTTAGGTTTAACAAGGTACACAAATAAAGAATTACAGCCAGTGCAATTAAATACATTTTTCTTTCTAATGGAAATGTCCATTTCTATTTCAGTACCTTCAGTAAAGCACAAGTCTTTTTCAGGACAGGTTTTATTTTCTCATCCATATGCTAAAACAATGTGTCTGTCTCTCATGTGACTTTACAATATGTTTATATATTTCATACACTTGATGTTATCAGGGCACATTCCTGTAGTGAGTACTTAAATCTGAAGTTAAAAAAATTAAATTAAAAATCACAGAAAACAGATTCCACCAAGCTGCAACTCTCTATTCGATTTCTCTATTTTGAGATGTTCCTCCTCCAGGTACAGTTGTTGTTTGTTCTCATAAGACAAATGATACATTTTCCTAATATGGTCTTGCAGCTCTGTTTGTACAGTTACCTTTCATGTCCCTAATATTTAGTTTGTTCAGTATATATTGTTATTAATGTATATTAGTGTTATTAGGCATGCTTTTAGGCAGGCTAAGTGTTCCATAATGATGTCTTATGTCATCATTAACAAACGAAAAAAATCTCATTTCTTAAAATGGACGATCTTTTGAAACATATCTACAATTTCATGACCATCACAAACAATGGTTAAGCAATGAGAGCTTCTGACTCCACTATGACTTCCCTCTGTTCTCTTGTTGTTTGTGCTTTCAGCTGTGGGTCACTACGGCACCCTGCCCAGCACAAAAACCATGGGCAACATCTCTGAACACACCGTGGCGCACTCCATCCCCACCTCGCCGTCTCACGGCTCCCTGGCTCTCTACAGCACCTTCTCCCCTCCTCGCCAGCAGGTGGCTCACAACCCCAACAGCTCCCACTCTGAGGTCTCCTCCCCCGTCTTCAGGGGGGATGTGACACTGGACCATCGGCACAAGGCACACCTAGCAAAGGTATTTTTAGAGACTCAAATAATAATTATACACTTCTATTAAACACATTTCAAAAATGGCAATACAATGTAGAATGCAAAAAAAGGAACATTAAATGCATTATGAACCAATACAATGTGTCAATAACCAAAACCTTGGTTTTGTCCTTATTTAACTGGAGGAAATCTTGATAATGATCTTAAAATCACTAATTTATGAAATGCACGATTGTGGACAGGGCTCAGATCATCAGAAAAAGCCTAAATATAGAGTTGTGTGTCATCTGCATAACAATGGAGACAGGTGCCATGTTTGCAGTTTATAGAACCTAAAAGGTTGAGATAGACAGGAAAGGGAGTGAGGTGACATGCAGCAAAGGGCCGCAGGTTGGAATCTAACCTGAGCCGCGCACTAAATACTTGGCAGTCATCCATGTTAATTTTACAATGGTTTGCTATTATTGTGAAACAGGGGCAACCGGAAGTGAAGCCTTTGAATTATGGTAATTTAACACAGTAAATACAGGTGCAATGTTTCTCTTGGACAGCATTCAATTCTGTTTGGTAAAAATTCAACTGAAATCCTCTGCAAGATGGAACCTCATCAAGATCTAAGGGCTGGAGATCATTGAATTAGAACATGTATAAATATAAAACTTAAGCATGCAGCATCTCTAAAGTCTTGTACTTATAATGAAGTCTGACTCGGGGTATGGTGGAAAACAAGCATACTTCCTGAGATGAAGTGCTCTTTTAAATATCAGTTCATCCCTTCAATCATAAAGCTTGAATGTGGATAGAAAATAGCTGGAAATCACTATCTCTTTCTAGTCCTGCCATTTATTTTCCCATCCAGAGGACGAAAATTAGACAAAAAGCAGCTCTCTACTAAGAAATACTTTCTAATGTGCTTGGCATCCCATCCTCCATCAACTGAGGAGGTCCTTGTCAGATATGGAAACAGTCCTAGATCTGAAGAGTCCACAGATGTTCCTTATTTCCCCAAGAGAGTCGGGCAGGATGCAGAGTCGAGTTTGCAGTCAGTGGATGATTCTCAATTATGCGATTATTGAATCTTTAAATCACAAAACAAATCATCTTATTTTGTAACCATGCCGAGTTGTCTTTTTTTACACTGAAGTAGGACTACAGAGCTATCAGCACTTGTTTCAAGAGAATTCCTGGAAAAATTAGTGTACAGCAAGGCCGTATTAACCCATGAGCCCCTACAGCTAATTTGGTTAGAATGTGATTAAATGCAGTCTATCTAAGAATATGATTTTTTGTAAGAATAATAAGATTAGCAGGAACTTTATAGCCATTACTGTGGTCATATTGAGCTTTAGTGTTGCATATTAGGGTTGTCATGATTGAATGAATATTGAAGATAATACTACTGATAATACTGTTAATAATACGTATAAATCATGCTTTCTGGTGGCTCAGAGTGTGTATCAAATCAAAATTTTGGTAGTACACTTTAATGGTGGTTGACCCTGTTTATTCTCCCAAGACACAAAATACAAAAGTCAAGGATGAATTTGACTGATATCATTATTATTTTTTACATTTTCTATAACAGATATTGTAATAATATTCAATTAATTAATCCATAAATTAAGGCTGAGGCCCTGAAGCAGCTGTCTGCTTTGCCCAGTTGTCAATCTAGTTTTGTTTTACCACTAAAATTGAAGATCAAATGGCTAAATTGAGAGAGATGTTTATTTTCTTTTTGTCTTTTTTAGTTTAACAATGTTATGCTTGAATACAATCCATTCCTTTTAGCCCAATGTAGCGGCCAAATTTAATTACAATGACATTAATTGAGTCCAGTCATTGTTCTGTGTTTGCTAACAAAGAAAGCAGATGTTGGCAAATAGATAGCAGGATGAAGCAATGACTGAATGTCTCCTATTGTTACCCTCTCATTTTAATAACGTTCCTCTTGGTTACATCAGTGAATGAATTCAGTTAAAGGCCATTACAAATGCTTCAGCTTGCATACACTAATTAACTACAAATCGTGTATGTTACTGTAGCAAGTCGCGCTACAGACGGGGTTTCCTCAGCACACAA